CTATGACAACAATAAAAGTATCGCAATGGCTTTACTACTGTTGAGTTTATTGTGACGTCTAACACTAGTTTGTCTATGTGTGTATGTATGTATGTATGTATACGCACCGAATAAGGCTGTCTTAGGGATCAAGGCATACGCGAATCTGCAAATTGCTGATTGAACGAAGGTACGAAGGCCAGGTCGGTAGGGATGGCAAATGACCAAAGTTCATTGTGCTGTGATGGCTCGTGCGTCAGTCACAAAGTATTCCAAACATCTACACTTACGGTACATTTTTCGTCCTTTTTTCTCGTGCTTTCATACAGCGTTACTTTTACCTTTGCGAATAATATCGCCTTTGATTCCGTCCGATCGCCATTATGAATTCGTTTGTTTCTTCTTCATTCAATATTCAAAAATTAACTTTGCCTATAGCTGTCAGTTCCATGTTAGCGTATGCCACGCCAATGGACTCAAGTTATTGCTACTGCCTTCCTAATCATTGCAGTAGTTAATTGTTGATGTTATCGTGTGTTTTCCATTACCTCTCTTATTAACTTGTTGGATTTTTTCCTTTTTTGGCATCATCGGTGCTGGAAAAGAGTGCGCCTGTTGTCCTAGCGTGAGAAACCTATATGTATTTCGCAGCTATGGGGGGCGACTGAACTCCGTTCCATGGAGGCCTAACTAATTCAACAACCTAAACTAGTTTCTTTATCTTTGTGTTCGTATTCGCTTGACTCGCAGAGATGCAGCTACCTGCCTCGTGTTGTTTTTTCCGCTTGTCCTCTACGCGTGTTTCATCCCAACACATTGACTGATCCGGCATCGCCTGTTGCTCAACTCAGGAGGTAACGCGCCCGGAATTTAAACGTCCAAAAGGGTTCGATTCTCAAGTGTTTTCCTGTCACCTTCTTTTGAAGTTTTTCTTCTTCTAGTGTGCATTGCCTTGACAGGCATCCGATGCCGACATGTGGGTGAGAGGAGAGTGCTTGGTCAATAACAATAATAATAATGACGGCAGCAGTAATATTGATAATAAGAATAAGGTCCGTCGTCCCACTTCTATCGCACCGGGTCAATTGCATTGGTTAGCCAACTAGCGTAGCTTCTGCCCTGTTTCGTTAATATTTTAATCTTAACTGTAAATGTATTCAATTCAGCTTCACTCACCGGCCGCTCGCTAACCACTGCGCATGCACGGTAGGGTGGCCGGAAGGGCACGGATGCTCTGAGGTTCATTGGCGTTTCTGGGATGATATAGTGGCTTACTTAATTTATTATGCGTGCATTGTCTATTCGGATGTGTTCAGCATTCGCGTGTTTGTCTTCTATGGTCCGCGTATTCACTCGCTGAAAGATTTTAGGCCTTCCTTCATTGTTCATACGACTCCTGGCAAGGGCCATTGCGATGTCATTGTCAGCTTTCGCATCGCCCCAGCCGCTTATCAGCCGTACTCTTTTCTTTATCGATCTCTCCGTTTCTTTAAATTTGAATGATCCTAAATCGTCGATATCTCTTTAGACATGCTTCAACTCACCCGTTTCATTCATTGCAACATTCATTACGCAATCGTCATGCGACGCTTGAACGCGCGCCTGACGTAAACTTCATCTAGAAAAGCTCCCTTTCGAAGCGGATCACACTATTGTCACTCAAACACGTAGCTAGGAGAGAACAATTACAGTCATATATAGTTATATTAGGCGTCACAGCAAGCACACATGGACGCGCGTCTAAGAAAAATGCTTATGTATATTTTCATTATCAACCGTACTCTTCGTGATCAGGCTGAATTACGGATGATAACGCTACGCGAGTTGGGACTTGGATGACAAGTTATTGTTACCGAACGATTTGTTTACCATGATCGCCTCACAAGATAAAAGTGTTTTTTTTTTTTCTGTGCAACGTTGTGGGCCGTGTCTCGCCTGCCTGTAGCGACACAGGTCCCCTGTAGTCAACCATGATAGTAATAGCAGTAGAGGCTTTCGGAGGTGAGAGTATCCTGCTTTGAAGCAATATCACCAAACAGTTTCCTCCGTTGAATTCACGTTCTTTTCATTTTCCCACACATTTCTAGCCGCCTACGACGAATT